ATATATCTGATGTGTGACATATATAACAAAGTGCAGTAAACGGTAAAACAATTGCGGTACAAATTAGTGTGTTTATTAGTACGTTAATAAATGTAAAATAATTTGAACACAAATACTAGTTTACAACATCCAGCAGCACAATGAACTGTTTTGCACAGCTAAATAGGCTAAATGGAGATTGCTGACATCGCCTCACACACTCAGGTTTACACCAGCTCTTACATTAAAAATAAGCTGGAAAGATAAAAAATTAATAGTTTCCATGGATCTAGTCTTTGCATCTTTTTGTCTGATGTTTGAATCAGGTCTCCTCTTTTGAAATAGAATTGGCTAGATGGCGCTGTCACAAAAAATAGGGTCCTAGAAATGCGGTCCTAGAACTGCAGCCTCCAGTATCGAAGGAACATAGTATTGGGGTTGTTTTTGTTCAGACCGATATGAAATGCGACCCATGTTTTTACCCCTGCAAACATGCAGAGCTGTAAATGTGAACTGGTGAATCGATAAGAAGATAATTCATTATAAAAATCTAAACCATAAAATTTATTTGTTATTTAATTAATATAATAATTTATTGATAATGTTTTTTAATAAATATAATTAATACTTTTGACCCATCCATTTTCTTTAAAGGCTGAAATGTGAAGTGTATCATTTTATAAAACTTTTTGTTTTTGTGAAAACTTGTATCTGAACTGTAAATTTAAAAAAAATTATGCTTTTTACAGTAATTTTACAGTTTAACTCCCTGGGGTCGACGGTCGCGCCGGTGCGACCAGCTCACTTTTTTTAAGATCAGTGCGAAAGACACTAAAAATACTGTTGATTTTGGTCACACAAATAAGTGTTATATATCATTCAAAACTGTTAAGTGTCTACTTTTATTTGTGTAAACTCACAATAACAACAAAACTTTGTGCTTTTGTAAAATAAAGAAAACATACAGTTGTGCTTTTGTAAAATAAAGAAAACATACAGGGTGCGTTCTCTGTCTTCTCTGTCTCCGCGAATATCCATCTGAAACGCGTCACTAAAATTAACTGAAACTCAGCGAATACTGGATACACAGACATGAGAGACATATCTATAGAAAGCTTGGAGTGTCTACTTTTAAATGAAAATGAATCGAAAACAAATATTCTGTGATAAAGTAATCCAATGAAACCAACACGATGTTCAGTCTTTCCCATCTAAACTCATTATCTATAATGTGATCCCGCCCACGAGCGGCCCTTCATATATGTAAATATCCATGTGAGGCGCGCGCACATGTAAACGCCCAATGTAAACAAAGCATGAGGATAGTCAAGTTCATCGCGGCTACTGTTCGTTTTTGGAAGAAGATGCGCTGAGAGGAATAAGCCAGAATTTACCTCAGAAGAAGAACCAGATGCGACGCACGCTTCATCCAGCGGAGGAGATGCATTTTTTTTTTGCATTAGTTCACGTGTTATTGTGACATAAACTTGAACACGTTTACTAGTTGGGTTTTTCCCAAACTATAATTCCTGACTAAAGTGTTTGAAATGAGTAAAACATTTTGAATATGAAAGGTAGCTCATTGTTTCTAAATTTCTTACGTTTTCATGCTCTATATATATAAAACAATACGATATAAAAGTAATATGAGTGTACACTGTAACATGATGAATGCTACGAGTCTATGAATGACTAGACCATGTTTATTATTAAAGGGGTCATATGATGCGATTTCAAGTTTTCCTTTCTCTTTGGAGTGTTACAAGCTGATTGTGCATAGATAAGTGTTTTTTGAACATTAAAGCATGTCAACATATTCTGTTACACCAAATACACAAAATAATGATCTTTAAAAAAGCATCATATGACCCCTTTAATACTCTGTTCACAAATAGATTTTTATAACGTGCTTGTCATGAATCTGGTCCGTGGACTTCCATCCGATCGCCACCAGAGGTCACTCGTCCATCATATTGACTCTCTCACTACACTGACTGTTGCACGTCACCACAGACTACATTTCCCATGCACCATTTCACTAATCACACGCTCACCTGAGACCAATTAGACACACTACATAACACCCATTCAGTTCCTGCTCCGATCGCCGAGTATTGTTCTGCGTTTAGCACTCCCCAAGTGTTAGCTGCTTTACCGAGCCATTCCGTGTTTCTGTTTAGTCTCTAGTTTTGTTTAGCATTTATCTCTCCTCTAGCGATAGCTACATTACTGAGCCATTCCTTTTCCCATTTTTTAGTTTTAGTCTTAGTCTAGTCTTTCCGTGTTGCCTTGTTGTCTGTTTCCTGACCTTCTGCCTGTGTTTATTGGACATAAGTCAAGTCAAGTCACAGTTGTTCGTCATAAGTCAAGTCAAGTCACAGCTGATCGTCATGAGTCAAGTCAGGTCACAGTTGATCGTCATAATTCAAGTCAAGTCACAGTTGTTCGTCATAAGTCAAGTCAAGTCACGGCCGATCTTCAAAAGTCAAGTCAAGTCACAGTGGATCTTCATGAGTTAAGTCAAGTCACAACTGCTCTTTCTGAGTCACATCAAGTGACAGTTGATCGTCATGAGACTCTTGAAACAGCGGCGCCTACTATGATGTTTCCAGAGGTGGCGGCTGATGCTGCAGAACCTCCCAAGGTAGTGGAGTTCACTGCTGTTTCCCCAGAGGTGATGGCGCCCGCTGCAGCTTCTCCAGAGGTGGCGGCGTGTCTGCAGAACCTCCCGAGGCGGCGGCACTCGCTTCAACTCCTTGTACGGTGGTGGCGCCCAGCAAGGCACTCTCAGCCTGTCATGTCGTAGTTGAAGGAACCGTTAATGAACTCTCCCTATTTCCTGATGGTACTGCACTAGAACCTCCAGAGGTGTCAGTAGTATCCGTCTGTGAATCCTCGTCCTGTCCTGTCACGGCTATGGAGGCCGTCTGCAAAGCCTCATCCTGTCCTGTTACGGCTATGGAGGCCGTCTGCGAATTCTCGTCCTGTCCTGTCCTGTCACGGCTATGGAGGCCTTCTGCGAATCCTCGTCCTGTTAACGACTATGGAGGCCGTCTGCGAATTCTCGTCCTGTCCTGCGCCTGATTGTCATAGCAAAGTCCGCATTACCTCCTCTCCTAGGTTCACGAAACGGTCGTCCATAAAATGCATTGCTGTTCTGTTGTAAGTAATCTTAAAGATTCCTAAATGCATCTACTTTCGGAAGGCTAAATAAAGTGCTTTTGCTTTCGCCTAGAAACACACAGCGTCTCCTTGACATGGCTGCTTCAACACTAACTGCGGTTACTGACACCATGCCTTCTTTCTTTGCGTGCACATTTGCGGCGGGATTATGCAAATATTTCCACATAGTGGGGTAGATATGTGGGGGCGTGTTAGAATGAGCCGTTTTAGGGGGGCGTGGCAGAGTCTTAATTTTGATAAAGAATATCTCTTTGGTTTTGAGACTTTAGTCTTTGCAACTTCAGGGATCTTATCTATGCACAATCAGCTTGTAACACTCCAAAGAGAAAGGAAAACTTGAAATCGCATCATATGACCCCTTTAACTCTTCATCTGGTGTGGTAACTTGTCTGTGCCTTTTTGGATGCTTAATGTTCTTTGTTTTCCTGGTGTTTTTTGACTAAGAATTGTACTTTGGATGATTGCTCCCTGTTTCCTGTTCACCTATTGCCTGACTACTGTCTGCTCTATTTTGGATAATGTCCTTTGGATTTTGGACTATTTTTGGCTTGCTTTATTCTCAATAAAGAGCATACCTGCAATTGCATCTGTCTTCTGATCCTTCTCTGACAGAATACTTCATCGACCGCATGGATGCAGCAGGAGAATTTAACTGGCAGCAAGTGATATCTGCTCAACAGCTAGTGATGGGTGAGCAGCAACATCAAATTGCTGAACTCAATGCCAAAATAGAGCTTCTTTCTCAAGCCTTAGTTTCAGCCCCACAGCGTCAGGCGCAACAACCTGTGACAAGTTCCGCAATGCCTCTACCGGAAAAATTCTCAGGTGAAGTCTTGGAATGTAAAGGGTTTTTATTGCAATGTTCTCTGTATTTTGCCAGTCATGAAGGAATATCAGAACAACAGAAAATTGCACGATTTATGAATTTACTGTCTGGAAAGGCATTGAAATGGCCTCTGCAATTTGGGATCAAGGAGGAGCACTTGTGACATCATATCAACATTTCACAGAATTGTTTCATCGTGTGTTTGATCATGCCATTGATGGTAAAGAAGCAGGAGAGCAACTAATGACCCTGTCTCAAGGAGAGCGACGTGTGTCTGAATATGCACTGGAGTTTAGAACCATTGCAGCTGGAAGTGGTTGGAACTCGACCTCATTAAAAACTGCATTTCGCAAAGGACTCAACTCCGATGTTCTCACAGAGCTGGCATGCAGAGATGAACAACTAACACTTGATGCACTAATTGATCTTGCCATCCGTCTAGACCTATTACTTCTGAATCATCCCACATCTAATGTCCAAATGACTTCTCCAAGCCCCATCATGTCAGTTGAACCCATGCAGTTGGGTAGAGCAAGACTCAGTGAAACTGAACGTGAGAGACGGCGTCGAGAGAACTGCTGTTTTTACTGTGGTCAAGCAGGACATCATATCCAACAGTGCTCTCTACGTCCTCCCATTCCCCCAGCTACAAGCAGAAACCAAGTTCCCCGCTCTCAACTGGGGAGTCTATCTCGGGCTCTTAAATTCAATGCATTTACACTACCTATTACTCTGCAACTCTCAAGTTTGTTCTTTGCATTGACAGCGATAATTGACTCAGGAGCTGCAGGAAACTTTATCGACCAGGAAACGGTTACTCAACTTAATATTCCCATGGAACCTCTGCCTAAGCCTAGAAAGATCCAAGCTATTGACGGAGGCCCTATTGGAGGTGGATTTATCAACCACTTCTCCTACAAGTAGGAGCCCTTCATCAAGAATACATTTCTCTGCTGATAACCCAATCTCCTAAACATCCCCTAATTCTGGGTCTTCCTTGGATGGAAATTCACAATCTTCAGTTGTCCTGGTCAGACAAACAACTCACCCGCTGGAAGAAATGGCAAGAATTCCACAGAATCAAATTCCTGCCTCCTGTCCTCCTAACAAATGTTTTGTTCCTCTTCATTTACGTGATAGACTCATTATCTGGGGTCACACTTCTGTTGCCACTGGCCATCCTGGCATTCAATGCACTTACCAGTTATTGAGGGAAAAATACTGGTGGACTAATATGCTATCTGATATTCGCCGTGTGGTATCATCATGCTCAACCTGTGCACAAGCTAAAGTGCCAAGAACACTGCCTACTGGAAAGCTCCTGCCACTACCCACACCCCAACGTCCATGGACCCATATAGCCATTGATTTTCTCACAGATGTACCAGAATCCAGTGGTAATACAGCAATTTTGGTCATTATAGACAGATTCTCAAAGTCTTTACGTCTGATTCCTCTGGTTAACCTGCCTTCGGCATTTACCACTGCAGAACTCTTGTTTAATCATGTGTTCAGGTATTTTGGGATACCTGAGGATATTGTGAGTGACCGAGGACCACAGTTCACTTCTCGTGTGTGGGAAAGCTTTATGGAGAAACTGGGGGTAACCGTGAGTCTAACATCAGGATACCACCCACAAGCTAACGACCAGGTGGAACGAGCAAACCAAGAAATTGGTCGTTTCCTCCGCACTTTCTGTTCCACCAACCCAGAAGACTGGTCCCGGTTTCTGCCCTGGGCAGAATATGCCCAGAATTCTTTACGTCATTCAACCACCCAACTCACTCCGTTTCAGTGTGTTCTTGGATTCCAGCCTCCACTACTGCCATGGAATGATAACCCCACAGATTCTCCCTGTGACGCCAGATTGTCATAGACTTTGCTATGACAATCTGGCGCTTCTGAATCAGCGACTGTAAAGTATGTTTTGTTATTAGTTTAAGTATTTGCTATTGACTGTTCAAATGCAGAGTTTTGCGCAGCGCAGAGTAATGCATTGTGTGTGTGTAGAGCAGACTGTGCTTGTCAAAGGAGGGGGCTTTGTTGAAAACGACGTGTTTGAGAGAGGCGGGGCATAGAGGACCTACAATAATGTACAGTATTTGAAAAATAATGTGTTTTTTGAACATTAAAGCATGTCAACATATTCTGTTACACCAAATACACAAAATAATGATCTTTAAAATAGCATCATATAACCCCTTTAAAAATAACCCCCTTCAAAAATTTGGGAAACCGAGCGCGTCTTGGCCTCCTTAAACTTCACGACCACCATCTCGACGGAAGTGCCGAAAAGCTTCGAAGGGGAAACCGGTGCATCAAGAAGAAAGCCCTTCTCTTTCGACCCGTTATCCACCAGACTCACCCATATGGGATTACAATTCTGCGCGCGAAAGATCATATTTTGAGCGCACAAAAGTGCAGTTCATTTTTAGTCCATCTCGAGATTTTATCTGTAGAAGATAACCTGCTTAATAATTATGCACACCTGAATATAAGACATTTTTCACTTCCAGCCTTCATGAATAATTATATATCAATTATAAATGATTAAATACCAGATTAATAGTAGTTATTAAGATTGATGTCGTTTGGAATTGGTAAAATGTGCTTGGAAAAAAATATGATCAGAATATCAACTTGCATAATTATGCATGCACTGTATTTTTCCTCTTCTGCTGTCGAGGTAATGCAAGGAATGTTGTGATTGGTTGTCAAGGCAGCCAATCAGAATTTAGCAGCCTCGTCTCTGATTGGCTGGAATTATGGCACATTGTAACGCTGGGTTGTGTTGAGCACGCGAGCTGTTGGCATTTAGCGAGCACTGAGGGCGGGCATCAGGTGAGCAGCTAGTGAAACGTTGCATGCGCAATAGAGAAGGTCTGCACACATCCAAAAACTTATTTTAAATGCAAAATTGATTTTCGTGCGCTCGAAATACTTCTTTGCGAGACAAAATTTTCTCCACAAAACTTTTGCGCGCTCAAAATATGATCTTTCGCACGCAGAATTGTGGCAGAATTGTAATCCCATACACCCACAGATGTCTCTGTAACCACCATGACCACCATGGATCTGCCAATGGCAGTGGCGGCCTGCTTAGTGGCACGGAGAGCAAGATCCGTGGTGCGACGTAACTCAGCCACCTCATCAGGGGATAGACCCTGCCTTTATCCACTTTCAGCAGATCAGCCTGAAGCACCCAAGTAGATATAACTGCAGACCGGAGATCTCCAAAATGGGACGTGAACTCCAAAAGTGGGCAGAACCTCCAAAATGGGGCGGGGTCTCCTCGTGCAAAAACGTTCACCATTGGCTCTGGCTCCAGCCAATTGTTATTGACTTACATTTCAAAATAAAACTTTATAAATTTAACATTGTTTCTAGTTGATCTAAAATAAAGGCGTGAACACCAAAGGTGGGCAGAACCTCCAAAATGGGGCGGGGTCTCCTCGCGCAAAGACTTTCACCATTGGCTCTGGCTCCAGCCAATTGTTATTGACTTACATTTCAAAATAAAACTTTATAAATGTAACATTGTTTCTAGTTCATCTAAAATAAAATATGCTATATAAGTAAATATTCTCCGTGAGAGCAGAGCCCAAAGCTCTTGGCCAGTGGTGTTTGGACTGGAGTTTGAACCTCTGCTTCATGATATAAACGGGAATCACCCACGAGCTCTCCCGCAGCGCAGGGGAAAGATTTTACTCTATCGCTTTGTTCTAAGCAACAGGGGCGTCCCGGGGCTCGAAATTCGCAGGGTAGGAGGGGGTTGTGATGCTGGGTGTAACTAAAAAGGTGCCATTGTCCGGTGAGGTCCGGTTGGGGAGTTACGGAATGATCTCATATCGCATAATCTTATTAACTGTTTATCTCCTGAAGCATCTTTCTTTACCACGCTATTCAGCGCCAATCCCACCGTGCAGTCAATTTCACTGGTTAAGGTTAGGGTCAGGTGTGGGGTAGGTTTAGGGGTTAGAATGTTTTGTAGTATAGTGTAGGAAAGCAACATTTTAATTGACACAACCAATAAAATCTTTAGAATCAACTGTAGGGCGGAGTTTGCACTGAAGTGGATTGGGGGAAAAAAATTGCGCATGCGTGTCATGTGCCTGTCTGACAATGGGAGGAAGCCACACCCTATTTTGGAGCTCCCACCCCGTTTTGGAGTTCCCGCCCCCATTTGGAGATCTCCGGGCTGCAGTTATACCCTTCTTGAAGCACTGCCCTGGTGTGCAACGAGGCTGCAGCCTGACCTGCTGCTGCGTATGCCCTGCCATTCAAACGAGATGTATCCTGAAGGGGTTTGGATGGCAGGGAGGGAGCCTTAAGAGAAGATGTCTCCCCCATAGATAGATAGCAGGCCAGTGTCTCTTCAACAGGGGGCATTTTCTCATAACCATTCTCACGCATCCCCTTGATGTTGAAATTAATCTGTGGATGCGGAACGAGAATGGATTTTTCCAAGCCTTCTCGATCTCCACATGAAGATCGGGAAGGAATGGAAGGCTCACCTGAGCTGGAGGGCTATGGCTAGAAAGAAAACGCTCATCGAGGCAGCCTCGAGGCGTCACTTTCTTGGCCCTCTTCCATGGCAAGTCAAGCCTCACCGTGGCACGATCCATAACCTCAAGCAGCTCATAATACGCATGAGGGGTTAACTAAATTGCTGATAGGGAAAAATTTCCCGTCAGGTCCTTTCCATGTTCTCACCGCGACCGCAACGCGCAGCATGCATTTAGCTCCCGCACAAATGCTAGATTACCTCAGAAATCAAGCGAGAATGGAAACCACTGCCGCGAATGCGACGCTATTCCCGAGAGAGGCGAACGCACTCATGCAAACGCTATCTACCAACTCAGGTAGATGGTGAAGTATTCACCTCCCCCTCAGTAGTCCCCCTCAAGCCGTCTCCTCGTGAGACGAGTGCGTTCAATTCATGCTTATGCCTCACAAGAAATAAGAAATGAATGCAGAACGCATCCAACTCCTTCGAGAGCTGAACGCGCTTGCTCTTCACCACACACACAGCACACGAGCCGTGTGAAACCGCAGGTATCAGAGCAAAGCCTCTGGCGAGAGAACATGTACTCCTAGTCGTGTTTAACTTAACACTAACGTAAACAAATGATCAGTGAAGACGAAGAAGAAGATGACGTGTTATCCCGGCGCCCTTTTATACTGTGATATGCGCAGGGTAATTATGTCATATGCTGTCGCCGGCCAATGTTATTGTCGTTTTTAGATGTATGCTTCAGACATCGGTCATGCTGAAGGCATTCCCCATAGCGACCCTTAGAGGATGCAGTTCGAAGTTCCCTCGAAAGGGAACCTCCATGTCCTGTAGATTCTTCAGTTTTCCAGCATATTTTGCATATTTGAACCCTTTCCAGCAGTGACTGTATGATTTTTGAGATCCATCTTTTCACACTGAGGACAATTGAGGGACTCAAACACAACTATTAAAAAAGGTTCAAACATTCACTGATGCTCGAGGAGGAAACATGATGCATTAAGAGGATGAACATGTCCAAATATTTCTTATTTTTTTTAATATAATTTTTTTTTCATTTAGTACTGCCCTTCGGAAGCAACAGAAGATACTTGCATGTTTCCCGGAAGACAAATTAAGTACAATTTACCTTGATCTTCAGATTCAAAAAGTTTTCATCCCCCTGGCTATAAATGCATCGTGTTTCCTTCTGGAGCATCAGTGACTGTTTGAAGCTTCTGTAATAGTTGTGTTTGAGTCCCTCAATTGTCCTCAGTGTGAAAAGATGGATCTCAAAATCATACAGTCACTGCTGGAAAGGGTTCAAATATGCAAAAGATGCTGGAAAACTGAAGAATCTGCAGGAGCTGGAGGATTTTTCTGAAGAACAGTGCTCAGTTTAACTGTTCAGAACAAACAAGGAACTCTTGAACAACCATCACAAAAAAAAAAAAACAGTCGTAGATCATCCAGGTAACCAAACACAGTATTAAGAACCAAGGGTTCCCAAACTTTTGAAGGAGGTTATTTTAATAATTTCAGCTATTTGTCTTGTGTGGACTAAATGTAAACATCATATTTTATGTAAAATATCTTACTCAGGACAGTACTAAATACACAGTATTAAGAACCAAGGGTTCCCAAACTTTTGAAGGGGGTTATTTTAATAATTTCAGCTATTTTTTTGTCTTGTGGACTATATGTAAACATCTTTTATGTAAAATATCTTACTCAGGACAGTACTAAATAAAAAATAACATGCATTTTGTATGATCTCTCTAATTTTGTTAAAATTATTCGCATTTTCACAGCTTCTGCAAGGGGTTCCCAAACTTTCGCATGCAACCGTATGTATAAGTGACCAGTAGCGTGTTTAGGCACCACGCAACCCACGCAATTGCATGGGGCCCCTGTGGAACACGATTTCTTCCGATGGGAGTCGAGAACCGGCATTTTTTTTGGACCGGTGCGTAATTGGGTCAATGCCGGACTACCGATAAGCTTCAGGACAAACAAAACTGTTATCGATACGTGTGTTGTTTTATCTCTAAGCTGCTCTCATAAACCAATCTCAAGCTGATGACGCCTGCCGTGAGAGGTTTGGCATGACATGCAGTGGCACCAACTTATAATCGGCGCGGGTAAAATAATTATAATGCTGAAGTTGAGGTAGAATTCATATTTCTTCATTAAATAACTTACAAAATAATTTTAAAACTTTATGTGAGGCCTAATTTACAAACAGCAGGAGTTTTCCGCAAGCTCTCTGTTCCCTCTCAAAATGCGCAAATGGCTTCATATCACCACATCGCGTCTGCACTATAAGCGAGCTGCACACTGCACAGTTGACACAGGAATTGTCACAGTTTACATGCATCGTTACTAAAGTTTATAATTTGCATTTCTTTTTAGGTCTGGCCAGTATTTAAACCATTCAGCAAAAATCCTCCCTGAGAAAGTCAATATTTTAATTTTCTTAAATAAGAATCGCTAGAGACGCCAGAATTCTCTATTACAGGGGTTCTCAAACCTCTCCATGAAGTACCCCCAGCACTGCACGTTTTGTATGTCTCCCTATATCTGACACACCCACTTCAGGTCTTGCAGTCTCCATTAATGAGCTGATGAGTTGAATCAGGTGTGATAAATGAGGGAGACATACAAAATGTGCAGGGCAGGGGGTACTCCAGGACAGGTTTGAGAACCACTGCTCTATTATATTCTGTTGTGCTCCTATGCACATGATGTTCAAATATGTTGTGCTATGGTATGCTGAGGAAATCTCTCTCTCTCTTTGAAGGGCCTTTTTATTTAAAAAATGTGCTTTATGTGCCTTTTTCTGTTTGCTTGGAGGGATTTGAAAACTGCAGTAATAAAATAACTTGAAATTTTCAACATCTTTTTAAATCATTTATCGTATCGGTATTGATATAATGTAAACGATACCCATCCCTACCCCGGAATTGATCGCAAAATCCACCCAGGGGCTTCAGAAATGTGATTAAGTAAAAGTAGTGAATTTAAATTGTACTAGAATAAACTACAGATACCCCAAAATAATACTTAAGTACAGTAATCAAGTAAAATTACTCAAGTATTTTACACCCCTGAGTGCAGCTGTGTCTTTAATTGCTTAAAAGGGTCATATGATGCGATTTCAATTTTTCCTTTCTCTTTGGAGTGTTACAAGCTCTTGGTGCATAAAGAAGATCTGTAAAGTTGCAAAGACTAAAGTCTCAAATCCAAAGAGATATTCTTTATAAAATTAAGCCAACCACGCCTACCTAAAACGGCTCGTTCTAACACGCCCCCAACATGTCTACGTCACGATGTGGGAAGATGTGCATAACGCCGCCCAAATGTTCACACAAAGAAAGAAGGCGTAACTTTTATTCTCACTGTAGTATTGTTGCCGCTGCCGCCATGTCGTGAAGACGCTGTGTGCTTCGTTGTGAAAGCGAAACTACTTTCAAAAGAGGACGATATCCGCTTCGTCATACCTGGAGCTGATCCTTCCAAAAGAGGACGATATCGCTTCGTCATGCCTGGAGCTGATCTGTGCTGGTCGCTGAGGAAATACATCAACTTCGCGCCGGATCGGCTTTCACTGTGGACGAAGCGGAGTCCAGCGGGTCGTCACATGTGGTTGCCGCAGGCATCACAATATGGTAAGGGACGTAACATTTCCGTCACACGCTTGAGGTATTCAGCCAATCACAATGCACTGGATAGCTGGCCAATCAGCGTACACCTTGCTTTTCAGACTGATGAGCTTTGTAAAAATCGACGCGTTTCAGAAAGGCGGGGCATAGAGGAGAAACAATAATGTACAGTATGTGGAAAATAATGTGTTTTTTTAAACTTAAACCGCATAAACATTGCATTACACCAAATACACCAAATAATGTTATTTTTAGCAACGTCATATGACCCCTTTAACTATTGTTATTTCTGTTCATTTACTAATTGAGTATTGTTATTTCTGTTTGTTTAGAACCACTCATACTAAAGCTATACCCCAAACTGCTCAGTGCTACGCTGCCATACCCTATGCTACTTGTGCTGCAGTTGTTCACTCAGCAAATTACAAAGACTGTAAATGCCTCTACCATCCGCAAGTCATTAAAGTGTACTTTGTCTCTGACAGGTCGACTTATGTCAGCTCAATATCCACCAGCACCCACACTAGTCTATGCTACAGTCTCCATAGTTGAGTTTTTCCACAATTGATTCTGCTATACAAATATAAATATAATGCAATATGAATATGCTCTAGAAGTAAATGTGACTTGACTTGATTGTAGACATACAGCAATTTAGCAATTAACTCATGAAACAAATTATCTGGCTATAAACTGTTTATAGTTGTAATATTAAATATTTATTGAAATCAAAATATAATTTTTTTTATAATGTAGTATACTTATAAGATTAAAACAGTAACATAATAGGCAGTAAAAAAATGTGGACACGGTTCATTCTTTATTCAAGCATTTTAACCATGTCTTTTAACCAGGTTTTTAAAAGCCTAAGAAACAAATTTACTGAAGTGTGTTGTGCATGTCTTTTCAAAGGTTCTTTGTAATTCAATTGCTTGTCAGTTATTAAAGAATGGAAGCAAATACTATTAAACTTATATCTAATTTTGTCATGATATAGACTTTTTAAATGTTTTTTTTTACCTGCTATGTTGAGAAGTATGGCTCCAGCAACACTCAAAGCTATGTTAAGCTTCATAGTTATCACCTGGTCTGTGATCTGACTGTTGTTTCCTCAACTGTAAGGTTTCTAATGAGATGTAAAGCAAGAACCGCCACATTTATCAATAGTTGTCTGGCCCCACCCCCCATTACATTTATCTCATATTCTGAGGTTTTTCATTGGTGTCCGTTTTGCATGTAATCCTGCAATCCATCTTCATATGGATGGTGGATTAAATATATGAAAATGTCTGTGAATGTTAGATTTGGTAGGGTTTTGATATTTGTAAAAATGTTTTCTGGGACCTGGTATAAATTAAATCCAGTGATCTATGTTTTTTTCTCAGTATCCCTGTTAATGTGTTTTAGTGTTTGATGCTATCAAACATCTGAATGATTTGGTAGGGTCTGTGCCAGGGCCGGAGTGGGAGTC